GCCAGGCCCTGCAGCGCCCATCACCACAGCCTCCTGAGGGCCACTTCCAGACCCTGAGTGCTTCCAACCCGGCAGTTTCAGCCATCCACCACCGTGGTGTCCATGTTTTTTCTCATCGGAATGAGTGAAGGCTGGTGGAGGCCTCAAGCTGGATCAGGCCTCAAGTTTCCTGTGACAAACTCTGCAGCCCAAGAGCTGGCACTTTGATCAATTCTCTGTCACAGAGGGAGAAAGAAAAAAATATATACTCCTCCTGCAAGAGCCTTTTCTTCCCCCTGGATCAATGCGTTCATCCTCATTCGACATCAGTGGGAGTTCTGTCACAGATCAAGAGCAGTAAATGGCTTAATGGAAAGAATAATAATGTTAGCATGCATCCGTATCGCTTCTCATCCATCTTGTGGTTTTAAAGACTTTCCTCCAGCGAGCTTGCTGGTCATAACGCTCACCCTCAGCTAATTCCGATCTTTTAATTATCTTCTCAAAAGTGCTATCAAAAATCAGGATGAAAGTGGAAAAGCAGAGAATACGCAGATTGCAAGCTGAAATGAGATGCTCTAAAACTTGAGTCTTTCTGCCTTTGAAACATAATAGGCAATATAACTTTTAAAAAAAGAAGCATATTTTATTAAGTGCAGCACCATTTAAAAACTGTGAGCCTGAGACTTAATTTCATCCATAAGCTGCAATATAGTACCTTATTGACCTCAAGTTGTTTTATGCTGCATGTTTCTTCTACTTCTTAATGCTAAGAAGCACATATTTTATAAGCCACCAGATTATTTGCTAATGCAACATTTTCATTGTATTTCAAGTGGGAAGCAAATTTATTTGTTACGAGATTTTATTTTTCATGTTTTTTTTTTTTTTTTTAATTAATTAATTAATTAATTAATTAATTTTTTCCCAGTGATGTTGTGGTACCTTTCATCTAGTACTGTGTTAACATATATGATGAGACTGGCTGCTTCCTTGACATTCACTGAAGCTGGGTAACAAAATGGGAAAGAGTAAGAGAAAAACAATCAAAATAGAAAAGTCTTGCATATACATGATGGCTACTTGTCTTTCAGCAGCACCATTATGTCTCCCCCTCCAAACTATACCTCTGTTTGAGATTTCGCTCTCGTTTTGGCAATTTTGTGTCTCAGTGACACTTAACGTAATTACTGTTATTTTTTCTTTTGCTTGTACAGCAAAAATTTGCTGACACTCTCAGAAATTCAGGGGTCTCATTCACTTATAGTTCCAGAGATGGAATTATCGGAAAACATTTTTAGGATACTGTGCAGTGAGTCAAACAGCACACACAGAAGAGATGCGAGCAAAGCTGAATTATTTTCTATATTTTTTTTTTTTGTCATACCAAAACATGTAAATCAGTATCTTGTTACTGTAAATGGTATTTAGGAAATAAAAGAGAACTTGATCACATAATTGATGACTTTTTAAAAATGAGGACATTTAAAGAGTGTGATAGTGTTAACAAATTGTTATTGATTGCTTCTCAGGAAATATTCTGTCAATGTCATGTATCACTGTATATTCACATTATGGAAGGCTTCCTACATGGTGAATAAACAGTAGTAGTCTGAACATGAGGAATCATGATAAAAGCAATTGCATTTAGTTTCAAAATGTACCAAAGAGCTAAAATTAAACCCGTGCTTCCTCTCCCTGAGCCGATTCATCTCATTCTTCAAGAGCAAAGCAGAAGCACATCTGTACGTGACACAATAAAATGCAGAAATTGAGACTATTGGTGGAAAATGATTTTAGGGTAATTGCTCTTTGCATTTACCCTGCTCCTTGGAGAGGAATGAGTTATTACTAATGAAATGCTCAAAAGCATTACACGTAAGACTGCATTCCTTCCACGGTTTGTGAGATGAGTTTTGGAGAACACAAAGGGTTACTGGGATGAGAGAGGCATTTTAACAGGAAACTTGCTGTAATGTGCCACAGTCCTTAAACAAAGGAGAGAACTTCCTTCATGTGGAGGAAGGAATTCATTCAGCAATTCTGAAATTTTCAGGGCGGACAATTGGGGCTGAATTCACACGATGCAATAGCGCACCAGAAGGTGGGCTTATTCAGCACCAGGAGGGCTGGGAAGAAACTTGGCTTGTCCAGAGAGGCCTGGGGACGAACAAAAAAAAAAAGCAATGAAAATGTTCGGTATGTTCCCTGTGAACATCTGGGTGTGAGAGCACAGGGCAAGGAGCCGAAATGCCTCGTGCACGCTTGGGGCCCTGCCAGCCAGCACGGCGGGGAGATGCGCAGCTGCCATGGGCTCAGGAAACAGGCAGGTCAGGTAACGGGACGCCACAGCCTGGCCCAGCTCAGACTTCAGAAAGCATTATCAGGGTCATCTGCTGTTCCTTGCTCCCCTTTTAACTCCTTCCAGCTCCCGCTAACAAGCAAAAGCAGCTCATTCCCAGCTTTCAGAGTGCTCCTCGCGTGAGGCTCTGGAGCAATTTCTTTCACAGAGGTCACAACTGAACCTCGGGGAGGTTAAGTGCCTTTCCCAGGACTCGAGGGCGACAGCAATCAGGGCTATGGGGAGCGATGACGGAGATAGGTCACACAGCAGAACAATTGCAAGTCAGGGAAGGAATCTGGGCCATGCGATGCTCAGACCCCCGCACGGCCGCACAGCCGGACGCGAGATCACCATGGTGGGAATCTGAAAGAAGACATTGTTCCTTCAAACGTCTTGGGCCTGGACAATTATAACATGGAGCCGTCTTCAGATTTTTTATTTTATTTTTATTTATTTATTTATTTATTTTTTCCAGAACAGAGTCAAGCCCAGTGCTTTCCTGGACACCAGGGAATGGCTTTGAAAAAGTTCATAGAAAGCAGTGAAGGCTGGCGAGCCCTTAGCAGGCTTCAATTCTTTATTTCAGTGCTGTTACCTCCCTTGGATAGATGTCTGCAAATGAAAATAACTTGGGAAAATCATGGATCTCTCTCACCTTTATCCAGAAAACAGAACCACGCAATGAAAAAATTGACAGTCTCAGCAAACACCCACCAGAAAACATTATCCAGGCTCCTCTGGAAAAGTATGAAAAAAAATGAGATCAAAGGTAATTACACCAACTTCCTTAAACCGTATTTATACATAACGCTTCTCGTTCTGCTTTCAGAAGTAGATGAGGATGGGAAACGATTCAAAAACTTCTCTGCAATGAGCAAGAGCCCTCTGAATGGGCACATAGCTGTACGGACACAAGCAGTGGATGGGAAAATGCTCCAAAAGATGTAGATGAAGGGCTGTAAGCAGAGCTGTTGTAAAGCCCTTGCAAGTCAAAGACGTTGGGGAAGACATCCAGGCATGTGGGCACGGGGAATGCCTTGTGTCACACGAGATCCTCAGCTGTGAGCAAGGACAGTCCAAGGAAAAGGAGGCTGAGCTTCCAGCAGAGAGAAATTAAAAGACATGTGTAAAATCTCTTCTTCCTTTTATATTACATTCTGGGTGCAAGAGAGAGATGGAGTATGCGTTTCACTTACCTTTTAGTACTGCTTTTCATTTTTTTCCTATCGTGTTTTGAGCATACTCCTGTGCAACGAGCTGAAGTAGGTCTGGGAAATGAGGCTCCTTGCCCTCTGCGTGCGCCTCAGCTGCACAGAAGGAAGTAAAGCAGTTCCTTCAGGCTAGGATTCATTGATATTTTCTAACTCCTGCAGCTGTCATAAAGGTTCAGCAGCAGCTGTATTTCACCAGAAGATTTGGGTGTGATAAATTATCCCCAGGGAGTGTGTAAGAGCTCTGCAGGCCCTACAGACACGGTCTGGGTTTCGTGGGTAGGAAAGAGAAGCAGGTAGCAGAGGAAGACATCTTTCCTGACCATTTTTGACTATTTTTGACCAGTTCAGCTCTCTTTGCACCAAGGGAAACCAGCTGATGTGATTTTTTTGGACTTCAGCAAGGCTTTTGACACGGTCTCCCATAGGATCCTACTGGACAAAATGTCCACCATACAGCTAAATAAAAACATCATACGATGGGTGAGCAATTGGCTAACGGGCAGGGCCCAAAGGGTTATGGTGAATGGCGCTGTGTCAGGCTGGCGGGCGGTCACTAGTGGGGTCCCTCAAGGCTCCATTTTAGGGCCGGTACTTTTCAATATTTTTATAAACGATCTGGATGTAGGAATAGAAGGTATTTTGAGCAAGTTTGCCGATGACACCAAACTTGGAGGACTTGTGGACTCGAATGAGGGTGGAAAGGCCTTGCAGAGGGATCTGGATAGGTTGGAGAGCTGGGCGATCGCCAACCGCATGAAGTTCAATAAGAGCAAGTGCCGGGTCCTGCACCTGGGACGGGGAAACCCTGGCTGCACGTACAGACTGGGCGATGAGATGCTGGAGAGCAGCCTAGAAGAGAGGGATCTGGGGGTCGTGGTAGACAGCAAGTTGAATATGAGCCAGCAGTGTGCCCTGGCAGCCAGGAGGGCCAACCGTGTCCTGGGGTGCATCAAGCACGGCATCGCTAGCAGGTCGAGGGAGGTGATTGTCCCGCTCTACTCTGCGCTGGTGCGGCCTCACCTTGAGTACTCTGTGCAGTTCTGGGCACCACAGTATAAAAAGGACATGAAACTGTTGGAGAGTGTCCAGAGGAGGGCTATGAAGATGGTGAAAGGCCTGGAGGGGAAGACGTACGAGGAACGGCTGAGGGCACTGGGCCTGTTCAGCCTGGAGAAGAGGAGGCTGAGGGGAGACCTCATCGCAGTCTACAACTTCCTCGTAAGGGGGTGTCGAGAGGCAGGAGACCTTTTCTCCATTAACACCAGCGACAGGACCCGCGGGAACGGGGTTAAGCTGAAGCAGGGGAAGTTTAGGCTTGACATCAGGAGGGGGTTCTTCACAGAGAGGGTGGTTGCACACTGGAACAGGCTCCCCAGGGAAGTGGTCACTGCACCGAGCCTGACTGAATTTAAGAAGAGATTGGACTGTGCGCTTAGTCACATGGTCTGAACTTTTGGGTAGACCTGTGCGGTGTCAAGAGTTGGACTTGATGATCCTTAAGGGTCCCTTCCAACTCAGGATATTCTATGATTCTATGATTCTATGATTTGAGAAGGGTAAAAGAGATGTGCTTGGATTGCTGGAGTGACGGTGTGTAACCCAGAAGAGCCCCAGGGGAAGCAGACTGCAGCTTGGCTCCAGCATGGAGAAGCCTCACCCAACTTTATGGCCTTGGCATCGTGCACGAGCAAGAAGCTCCAGCGTGTACCACCACCACCACCCTGTCACTGCGGGGGAACACGTAACACCAGGTCAAAACCATCTGCAGCGTTTCCTTTCGGTGCATCCTTCGCTTCCTGCCACCCCCAGCTCTCCTCCAGAGCCCTGACTTTCTAGGTTTCTCATCCCCTTGAACATCTGCGTTTCAGCTGCTTTTTCCCCAGTTGTATTATGTTTCATTTTCTGAGTGAATGTCACTTTGTTATTTTTCAGCTGGTATGTGCAGGCTCTTTCTATCCCCACTGGTGTTTGCAGCAGTATTGTCTGTGCATCTTAATAAAGCAGAGAGCAGGCGATCAAAGACAGGCACTGGGGTTTTTGGGAACCCAAGGCTCCACTGAGCTACAGAAACGGGAAGGCAAACGCCCTGTCCGCAGCCTCAGAGGCAGATTCGGACTCCGATGGCGCCGAGAGTGTTTCAGCTGATGTTTTGCCTGATCTGCAAGGATAAGGTTTTAATCTGAAAAGAAAACAATAGCAATGATGACCCCCTCCCCCCCCATCCCTCCCGGCCCCAACTGTTTGTATAAATGCATGGCAGAAAAGACAAAAAGCAACACAGATGGAAGAGGAGCAGCCATCCCTCTTAAAAGTGCAATTGGCATTTCATGTGCTGCTTTTGTTTTTAAATTTGTGGGGTTTGTAAATGAACGTGTGTTCCTTGGTGCCATAAAAGATTGCTTTGTGGGTCAGTTTGGTGGTGTCCTTCAGACAGGCACAGCCTGAAGGAGTTGCACCCCCAGCCTGGCATTGCTCTGGGCATGGAGAGCTGGACCCCAGAGCAGACAGCAGCCCTGGGCTCTCCCTGGGGCCACCAGCATCTCTCCAGCATTTGCTGGGGTCTGGGAGGATGGTTGGAGGTTGGCTGAAGCGCATTTTAGGGGTAGGGGTATCTCTTTAAAAGCCATTCCTTCTTCCCTTCCCTCCTCACCTTTCACATCTTTCTTTGCTGGCTTCAGGGTGAATGGTCAAGGGCAAACACGATTTCACAGGCTGGGTATTATGTATGGTAGGCTGGAGAGCAACAGCTTCCCAAAGCAAGTATAAATATGGAAGATCTCGTGGGAAAAGAAAGGAGAGTGCACGTATAGCCAAACGGAAAGCTAGAATGAATGGAGAATGAAGCACTGGGGGTGTTTCCTTACGGCTGGGGAGTACGTGTTTAGTTTAAGACAAAAGGCATTATTCTAAAATGCATTAGTTAGCATGTTCTAACCAGTACCTTTTAACATTCATATTAAAGAATATTTTTAATTGTAATTCATTATCATGTATTTAAAGGTACAGCTCAGACTGAAGTGAAGGCTAACGAGGAGGCAACTTTGCTCTAGCTGGCTAATCGCTGCTGAAATAGTTTCCCTTGCCTGGATGAAGGGCATGAGTCCATGGATGGAAGCAGTCTGTAGGAGCTGATCAAGTTGCCCTTCATCAGCTGACCTGCAACACTGGTTGAGTGCCTACACTGAGCTCATCGAGACGTGGGACTCACGTGGTTTTCCCAGGGGGACCCTCATGGAAAGTCTTAGCCACAGATTGTGTTGAGATGTATGAGACAAGGAGTCTCTGTGGCCCTGTGAGGCACTTTCAGAAGAGGACCTGCCTGATTTATGTGCCCCAAGAACGTCTCTTGATGCCATGAGGTCTGCGATCTGGATCACTCATCAGTCCTTTTATCTGTTAGGATCACAGCTTCTACGCGAGGCACTTCTGATCAGGAGTCTGAATAAAGCCCCTTTCTCCATCTAATCTGACCAGGCTGATGTAATGCACGATACGAGCCAGCATCCTCAAGAGATAGGAATCGAGGAGCTGCTTATGTGGCTAAGCCTTATACCAGACGCTGTCTGGTAATGTCAATTGGATGGGGGAATTAACCAGAGGAACAGTCAAGGCTCTTTGATTAAGGGATTGCATCAATTGTCATAAGATATGTTTGCAATAAAGATCTGTGGTTCCTGCTACTAGGTCGGTATCAGCTGTGGCTAAGAACACTATCTTGCCATCTGTTCTTGGCAGGAATTGTACAATCCTTGCTTTCAAGTCGCAGATATTATTACACTTACTCAGCCTTTGTCAGCTCAGGACTTGACCATTACAATGCTCTCTGCAGGATGCTGCTTGCTGCGACCATCTGGAAAATGAAGCCAGATCAGTATACAGCTGCTTGCTTATTCAGTAGCATTTCATACCACAAATGTCTTACACATCTGCCTTATCGTCTGTCCAAGCCATTCATTCGAGGGTGTGGTAGGAGGTGTTGCTTTGAATCTGTACAATGCACACACAAAACCATGCCGAAGGAACGTGGAGCTGCAAGGTGGGGTACACCCAGGAAGGGCCCGTAGGAAAGTGGACTCTGAAATCTCTTCATTGACTGTGTGTTCGCTTACGAAGGAGTATTCACACCTCACGTCTCAGGTTACATGGGCACGACCTCTCCCTGCTGACTTGATTTCTAACTTCTTCCTCTCCATAGCCCCGAAGTCAGATTGCTGTGACATCCTCCAGCCACTGCCAATACTCCGACCCCTCACCAGTCACCCAGCCTTGGCTCTGCTGGCACAGAAAGAATAGTGCCCCCCAAGGATGCTGCCCAGAGTGTGGTTTTCCGTCCTGCTCAATGGATAGCCCAACACCCCACTGACCATACAACATCCAAGGCTCTTTCAGAGGTAGGTTTGTTCCTTTCCTCATGCTCCTTCATCATATCAATCCATTTACGGTCAGAGACCTATTTGTGGGGGAGAAAGTGGCTAAGGAGCCACCCAGGAGCTTCTCAAGGGGAGGAAGGCAGAGACCTTCCAGAAGAACAGAGGCTGTGACTGGAGCAAAGCCACCAGGCCTGCAGGCTGGGGTGGTGCAGAGACCACACCAAGGACTGGGAGGAGAGGCCAGGCCAAGGGTAAAGAGCTGACAAGCTGGCAAATAGCAAAGGCTGGAAAGGTTAAGAGACTGGGACAAGAAACTGAGGATTAGAAAAGAAATGAAACAGGGACCTGAGGGAGGCCGGAGCACGTTCTCCACTAGGCCCTGGGACAAAATTCATCCTGGCACTTTGGTAAGTTGCCAACTTACCAACTTTGTTGGTAAGAAACAGCCATGGAGCACACCCACAAGCTGTGCTACCACCATCGTCCTCACCATATCCAGGTCCAAGGACTGGATAGCTACCTTCTGCTGCTATCAGTTACTCCTCAGATCAAGCGTCTGAGTCACTTCAAGTCTTGGAGGATCAATCCACCACAGACTTCAGCTATCCTGCTGGCTTTTCAAAGCAGAACTTCCTGGTAGAGAGACAAGGTGGGAGCCAAAATTCAACGCACAGTGGAAAATCTGTGAATCTGTGGCCATACCAAACACCACATTTTCCCAATTAGCGCTCATGCAAGTTGTAGCAGCGATGAACAAGTAGCTTTTCTGTATGCAGTTACAACTGCATAAGGAAACCACGCTGTCTATTTGCACAGCCAGTTAGCTGCATAACTGGTCTTTTGTGCACAAAATCTCTGATTCAGCAAGTTCTTTAATCATGTGTCCTACTTTAAGCGTGTCTCTGAAAATCGGGCCTTACAGCACGTATCTCTGTAAAATCAATTTTTACAACAATTTACTACTTCTTCTGTCGTTTTAGCCCTCGCGTTGGATTTGTCTAAACTTTTGTGCCTGAAGCAGAGCACCGAGCAAACAGAACAGTTTATATAAATGAGTAGGTTCATCAAACAATTATCTTTTTTATGGCTTAAATTGACGCTATCATCATTTTCCATTTTTTCTGCATTATTACCCCACAAGGAAAGACTACCACCGTAAAAAAAATAATAATCTGCTGCTAAGACTGCTTGGGGTTTTTAACCTCCTTTTGGTTAATGGGATTCAGAAAAAAGACACGTTTTATGGGATCTGACTGTCTTTTCTCAGGCTCTGTTAGCTGGATGAATATACCCTGTGCACTTTTGAAGCACGCTAAACCTGCGTGATCCCACGCAGGCCATCATGCACCTCCAACCACCCAGCAAGAAATTTGCCCAACTAACAGCAATTTATACCCAGTTAACATGCATAGTACGAAGCTAGTTATTTGATTCCGTCTGCTGAGAAACAGGAAAAAATACCTGCTATTATTCTAGCAGTTTTCCTACACATTTTCAACCATTACTGATAATATATATTTTTTTTCTTTGACTGGAGTTATCTAAAATACATCCTGCCCTCCTACTCCTCTTTATGCGCATTAATGTCTTCCTTGCTGCCTTCCCCAGAGAGGACTGGTTGTACCTGGGTATCAAGGAGCATGTTCTCATGTCTCGGGAAGTTTTTGGAGGCAGCCAGTGAGTGAGTCCCATGGTGGCTCACAGAGGATGTGTATGCCAGGTGGGACGGAAAGAAACGGTGACCTCTCTTTTTGTCTTCAGAAATTTTACAGATCTGTCCACGGAAAAGCCAATTTGGGGAAAGAGAATAACCTCTTGATTCTCCAGGCTGCAGCCTGAATAGGCAGACGAGAAGGAAACCACTGTCAATAAATGCAAAGCTAAAAATAGGCAGACCAAAAGCCTCAGCAGAGCTCTGGAAAAAATCTGAAGGTGGAAGTAAGAGTTATTTATAAGGTTGGGAACTGAGAGGGGAGAAAGAGGTCAGACGAAGACTTTATTTACATAGTTTGGGTTCCAGAAATTACTTTGCAGTGCACACAGCATCATTAGGAAGTGTTTCTGCTCAAGTCCCAGGTTCTGGCTATTTTTTGTGCCTACACGATGTGCTGTGCCATGCCAGAAGCAGGTTTCTGAGCACTCTTGGGATGCAAGAGGGCCTGGACTTGGGAGCTACAATTCCACTTTTCAGAATAGAGCAGTTTTACTTGCAGATAAATAATGTGCAAAAGTGCTTTTTTTGGAGTTTGAGAGCAGGTTAAGCTGCCTCCATAGGCACTGGTCCTAGATGGTAGGTAAGCAGGTAGGTAGCTAAGGCACAGTTCTGGATGGTAGGTTCACTGGTAAACAGAAAGATAGATGGATGGGGTGGAAGTGATTGCTTCTGACCTGAGCTGCAAAGAAGTGATTTTTCTAAGTGAGTTGTCCAGGGGGTATTCAGACATCTCCACAGAGAGTAGGTGAGCTTGGACGATGGGCACTGATTTAGGCCATGGGCACTTCAGCAAGCAGACATATCCTGAGATGAGTATTTTTTGTACAACTAGAATAGCTACCATGATATTTGCCCCTTAGTTAGAGTAGTCCCGTGCAAATGTGAGGTCTGAGACAAAAACAAGAAAATCAATCTCATTTATACACTCTCATTTTACACTCTGGAACTTGAAAAAATGCATAGGTTTTCCCCTCACATGTTCAAAGGGAATACAGGGAACATTTATGTCACAAGAAATCATCTGCATTTTTACTATTTTTACTCTTACAGGTAGCTAAAATAGTTGGATGTCTTGCTTGGGGCAGATAATTGGCATGAAAAAAAAATCTGCATTGTAACTCCTGTTACAATTGTATTTAATGAGAAGTCTCGGGCAAGCTTAGATGGATCTTCCAGCCTAATGTAATGCAATAGAATATAAATGACCAGTAAGAGCGCATTTAAATAAACATCTCCTCTTGGGTATATATTAAATTGACTATTTACATTAATTATGAGTTTAATTGTGAGAGATCGCTAGTTAATTTCATGAGGAATTTAATCTAGTTTGCCGTGCGTGAGGAAGAAGGACAGCATTTATGTCTGAGTGGAGCTGCTCGGCAGGGGAAGGATGCCCTGGAGAAGCTGGCCATGCAGGTGAGCATCAGAAGGAAATTTTGAGAGGACCAGCACCTTCCCTCCTTGCCCAGTTCATGGGTGAAATTGTGGGCAGCATCCCATGGGGAAAGACTAACATTTCACCGTCCTGATCATCAGCTTGTTTAGCAGTCTTCTCTCATATCTAAAGGATTTGCTGACTTTTGCAGTGCACAGGATAAATAATTGATACCTCATGAAGGGGACTGTAAGGTCTGATGGGAATTATCCTCTTTGGAGGGGATGGTCCTTTGTAATGTCAGGCTCCAGTGCAGTTCTGCTGCTAAGTGCTTTGGCTAGGGCGTAATGCAGGAGTTAATGATATGTCAATATTTTAATATACCATTTTACTCCCTGCTCTTCATTAAACTCTTTTAGGGTCCAAAAAGTCATTTCTACCCAGTCACCACTGCACTTGGCAGAGCTTTCTGTCCCAAGCACCTGCTTGCGAGGCTTGTTCTTGGAGAGGGTCTCCTGATTTTGCTGCTGGAACAAAACAGCTCTTGGAAAGTGTCCGTGGGGGCAAGAGGGACCCTACAAAAGCCACTTCCAGCTCCGCTGTGGGGCTCCTTGGACTTCACAGTGTTTGGGAATGGAGAGCCCCGTTGCCTGGCAGTTGCAGATGAAAGCCTGGATCACAGAGGCTTTATCAGTGTTCGCCTGGAGAGGGAAATATTTATGTGACAATAATCTGCGAATAGCGCACATGCTGCAGGGAGCAGCTGTGAACCGGTGGGGAATAACGCAGGGCAGAAGCACCCCAAACCACCATCTCGGGGGGGCAGAAGAGCCATCTCACCTACAGCTCTTCCCCAAGAAAACCACCTCGGTCACCAGCTCCACCTGGGCCTGGCCGTGAGTGTACCCCAGGGCTTGGCCCCACATGCCACGCGTGCCTCAGACCCGCTTCAGTACGTGGCAGAGGTGTCTGCAGGGGAAACGAGGGTCAAGCCCGTCCCGTGAACTGCTAATGAGCAAACCGGCAAGGGGAGGGGGTGATTTTGGCTTCCTCCCGCGCCACGTAACCAGATACGATGACAAAGTTGACAAGGTCGTTCCTACTTTTGGCGGTGACCCGGTCAGCCCCGAGTCACGGCTCTTTCCACTGGCAGCCGGTGCGGGAGGGAGAGCCGGGTTAAATCCCTGCATTTGCCCCGTGTCAGTCATGGATGGGGCCGGGAGAGGCCAAGAGCTCCTTCACACCACGTCCCCTGCGAGGCATCATCGTTAGCAATGCCTGGGTGAACTCCAGAAGGAGTCTGAATGCAAGGTTTGGGATATGGGCAGATGTACTTAAAAAACAGTCCCCTGGCAGGGAACCGAGCCTCTCCTCAGACACTGCCCAACACCCTTATGATGATATTAATCGCCGTTCCCATCTCAGCTATTTTGTCTGGGATCAGGATTTAGCCTGCCATGGAGCATGTTTGCATTTCATAATCTGCCTCTGAATTCTAACAATAATCCACTATAACCGCTGTAATAGACTCTTCAAATTAATATGCTGTTTAACAGGAAAATGAAGTTCTAGAAATGTATTGCAAAATTAGAATTACCCACAAAATGAAATAATTTTGACATGACATATCTGGCTGTAAATTTGCCTTGCAACAGAAATATTCATAATTACAGTAATTTGCAGCTCAGCCTCTTACTGTAGTTATATGATCCCGTAATTGCTGAGTTGTCTGCAAAGCGCTGGTTGTGCTAGCTCAACCAGTTTGCAGCTTTAAAGGAGCAGAGTGCGAGCCAGCTCCAGCCTGTTCCTCAGGTCGTGGAAAACTTCCCAGTGGCTGCAGCGAGCGGCGGGCTGGACCCCGAGCTGGCAGGGAGGGTAGACAGGCTCCTGCAGAACGGTGCTTCTATCACATCTGCTGGGAAGAGAGAAATGCTGGGATGGAGACAGATATTGCTCAAAAACTGTGAGCTGCAGAGCCCTACCTGTAAGTTGCTGCATCTTAGCAGAGTGATTCCAGGAGTATACCAATGCAAATGGAAAATGCTCTGGTCGACATCATGGATTAACCTCTGGCTGGCATTTAGGATACAACAAAGCTGTTTGCTTCCCCAAATCAAGAATTGAATGTGCATTTCCTGGGAGCTGGAATTAGGAGAGGTATAATTCAAGAAGTCTGCCTTCTAGCTTAAAGGAAGTTGCCCCCCAAAAAACATCAACTGCTTTGGGCTCTGTTGTAATTAATGACCTCAAGAAAGTCTTTTTGTTGCTGATGATATGTGAAATGGTGTAACTCATGGAGGTACACTCTTAACAACACTGGTGACCAAGGAAATCATAGAAAATGAGAGCATGAGGTTCAAGTCCTCGATCCCAGGGCAGCACCTGCATTTAATGTTGGGTAAAACACAAAACCTGAGATCCTTTGCTCCTAAACCCTGCATCTTCAAAGCCATCCTTCAGGTGTGTTATTATCTTGTTTCCCTGACCCTATGTGGCAGCATGGCTCATATCCAACAAGGCCAGAGACTGTAGTGCGCTGGGACGTGGACACTATGGGTTTTAACCCCTCTAGACTGAGGTGCAAAGAGATTTTCTGCCTCCTAAAGTATTCCTCTTAAAATTTAGCTTTTAGAGCCAAGCTGTGCTGCATGGTCAGATAATACATAATGCTGGTGGGACCATAAATAACAGATAGTTGTTTTTTGTTTGTTTGTTGTTTAAAAAAGCATGAAAAACAGGGGCTTTTTTGCTTGTTTCATTGCTTATTTAAAATAATGAATACTACTACTTAAGCCATTTTACTTCTGGTATGGAAAATAAATGTTGATTACATCTCATGTTTTATAACCTTAAACAGAAAGAGAGAAACCTGCCGCAGATATGTTTTCCCATTTCCACCAATGCCATAGCCATGCTTATTCAGCTATCTTTATTGAGCCCAGGCGTTTGAATGATAACCCCTCTGTTATCAAATGTATTTCAGTAATGATCACCCACTTATGAAGCACGTTTCCTTATGGGCAAGAGCATGAGATGTCTTCGCTAAAGGTCTGTGACCAGGGCTGGCAAAGTACCAACCTCATTCAGCTCAGAGACATAGCCCAGTAAGCCCTGTCTGTGGTGCCTGGAGAAAAAAGCAATAACGAGCTAATTTATCTCAGGGTTTAGGTGAGCATAAAGGCCCTGTTGGCAGCCCGAATCCTCCTGCTGAAGGGGATGCCCGCTTCGAAATGCCCTGTCGGTGCAGGCTCGTACATTATAACATTTCATGATGTTCACTGAAACTCAATACATCCTACAGTCAGCAGGCTCCTAGCACGTAAAAACGTAACCGGCCTGCATGGCCTCCCTTCCGCGGTGAGCCCTCAGCAAAGTGCCTCAGCACTTCCACTCCGTGGCCTATATTGGTTAGGTACAAATACCAGCATTATTAGATAAATAAAATAAGTCTGTCTGGCTTGTGCAAATCCTCTTGAAAGACTCTTTCGGTATGTGACCTCTGGAAGGGGAGTCCAGCTCCGTGTGCTGCACATTTCCCTTGCAGCCGGCCAAGGTGCCAGTGAGGCCTTGCCCCATACATTTTAGAAGGTTGTTCTTCCTTCTGACCCACCCCACCAAGCTTTCCTCATCGTTTGTGTTTAACCAGGTTTTATGCTTTAGCTTGTAAAGCCTGCAAGCACTCACCTCCCTGTCCAGGAAGGAGTCCAACCCTAGAAGCCACTGCCTGTGGATAAGCCCAGAGGTTCTTCTGGAAGTAATTTCTTCTGTGAATATTTCTTCTGCAAGTTCTTCGGGAAGAAATGGTCTTTACTGGGATTGCAGGGCAGGAATATGGGGGCGCAGGGCCCTTCTGCAAGCTGCAGCAAGGAAAATCTCCCCTTCTTTCTCTCCTCCTTGCATGGACACCATCTCAAGCTAAGTGCTGATGGCACCAGCAGTAGGAGCAACACGAAAGCTAATGGACTGGTGGCAAAAAGCTACAGCCCCACCCACCCCAACCGAGAGACCTTTTGGTCTAGGAATGGATTCAGCACTCTCTATTCCCTCTCTCTCTTTCTGTTTTTGTTTTGTTTCTGGTAAGTCTTTGAGGTAGCAGGGGTCCAGGTTCCTCTTTTAGGATGATTCCTCTATCCTCTCCCCCATTCTGTGGGGGAGCTAGGCTCTGCAATGGGTCCCCAATAACCTGCAGCACGTGATAACAAGGATCTGTCTTCTCAGCAGTTTTCTTGGCTTTATCCCAAACCCTGGGTCACGTTTGTGCTTCTCCGCGGACAACCAGCAATCGTTGCATTACGTTATCATCTCATATCATCTACTTCTCTTTCCCCTGTCTTTAAATGAGAAGAAAGAAAAGCTGCATGACTAGAGGGTTATATCAATAAAAAAAAAAAGCAATAAAAACATTGACTTTATGGAGTCTCCTGCCCTGGGCTGTATGTTTTGTAAAGCACTTTTTCAGCCAGTGCCAGGCTGGGATTACTAAATGTGATAACCAGATTCTGATAATCTGCATGTGCAGGCCGAATAGCTGGACGGTGCAAATTGCATTGGTTTTTGTCACACTTCATGAAAGTTATTATTCCAACCTTAATGCTTCCTTAACTTTCAAAGCAGTGTGTAGCGTTTTTCGCCCAGTGGCTTCATGGCTCCGTGCTGCTCCCGTTCAAGAGAAGAGGAATTTTATCACTGATTCCAAAGGGAACGATCCCAGACCGACAGAGTCAACAGCGATTGCTCTGTAAGGCTGGTCTTGTGGAAGAATGGGCTACTCTATCAGGCTGCTCCTGAGCATGCAGTACCACAGTGATGGCACCGGCCAAGCATTTGCCCTGTGACACACCACGCGGCGCTGCACCCTTCCAGCTGGAGCCGGGGGTTTCGCAGCCGGTGTGGCACTGGGGTAGGTGCCCGGTTGGGCTCGTTTTCAGGTGCCCATTTCCTCCAGATGGAAGCCAAAGTCCAGATCTGTTGGCAGTGACTCTGTAAAATGTCAGCAGAGCTTACGCTGCTGTGGCCAAAGGTAAATTGAGTCATTCTTTTTAATGAAGTGTTCCTTAATTTCCTTTATTCCTCCGGATAGCACAGCAAACAGACTATACATTTCATAAGGAGATTACAGAGAAGGAGAGTTGCCAATATAATCATACAATCTTGCAAACGCTAAACCTGAAATTGCCTTTTGTTTGCTGCTTTACAGTACATCTTTTCTTCCTGCCCTCTGTAGCTGACAGAATAGCGCTTGTTTAAAAAATATGTGACAGAAAATACCATGGGAAAAAAATGTATTGTTAAATCTCAGCCAACCCGCGTGAAGGCTCGAGCCAGGACTGTCAACACATACAATCCCAATTTAATGTCTGCTCTTCGCAGCAAAAGAAGGCAGTGTGGAGCTAAGCACAAATTAATTAGAGGACTGAAAGGAAAGAACAGAGCAAATTTTATTCCTTTCTGAGTCGACCCAAACCCAGTTGGCAAATACCTATCTAGTGCACAGGGATGTGGTTTCGCTTTGTAGTCCCTACCTAGTGAAAGCTATAAAACAGTTTATGGTGAAATCACCACCTGTTTTTTTTTTTTTTTTTTTTTTTAAAGTCACAGACTAAACTCCCACTGATTTCAGTAGTGCCAGGCTTTCATTTGGGAAGTTGTGCTATTTCAGCACTTCCAGAAACCAAAGTATTAGTACATTTTTTTATTTTTTTTTTTTTTCCAGAATTGTGCGTTTCTTGGTCTGTATATTTCAAGATACATACGGTGTGCCAATATTTATTTCTCAGAGCTGTGGGACATTTTGCTGCTTGCCCCTCACGCTAGCTCAGCCAGGCAGACTTCGGCACAGCTCTCCCAGCAGAAATGAAGGCCAGCTCTCAAACTGACCTTCCCAAGAAGAGACGTGCCCAGGCTCTTGGGATCGCCAGACTCCTCGAGGGTTGAAGGTACCCACAGGCTCTGTCTGCGACTGCCTCTTTGCTTGGCTCGCTTCCACCAGGGAAAACAACGTGTGTCACACCCCGTCAGATTCACTCGGATCCGTTCTGGACACGTTGGACGGTGTCCAAATGAAAGCAGCCTGGTTTCACCACAGCAAAGCAAAGGTTTGCACCTTTCCTTGTGTGCTGGAATCATTGCTATGGAAGCAATAAATAAAAGCCAAAGGAGCAAGCAAGCAAACAACAACAAAAAAACTCACAGAAACTTCAAACATGTTTGATAGCGACTTCTGCCCAGGCTGTTGCTTAAACTTTCTCTGAAGCATCAGGTTGGTGGCAAGAGAATAAGCCCAAAGTTGTGAGCAGCTGGTTTCTGGGGTGCTCTTCTGTTTGGTACCCCAACCTTCCACAACTGCCATTGCACCTGACCGTGGCACGGTTTCACCGTGTGCCAATGAACCTTGAATTCACAGGATCCTTTCTTCTACTAAACAACCTAAGGAAACCTGTGCTATCTTTGCAGGAACGTCATTTTTAAAAGCGGTCTGGATATGGGATGGCAGTGCCAGGCTCACCTTCCTGTTCCAGAAGTTAAACTCACCCGAGATTGCCCTTCCCAGATGGCATGACTTGCCCTGAGGACTTCTGATATCATCGCAGCAATGTACACACTGCTTATCTTGCACAGAATTACACACGGAGCGTTTTGACAGCCCCTGGATTTGCGGGAGACCGGTGCTGGCCTTCCATAGACACCGCGTATGACGTGATGGTAGGTGTGGGGCTTGGCGTGTCACCTCCCCACCTACCTTACGTCAGCACTATAAAGCCACCATAACGCATGCTATTGTGCTAGTTGTGGCTGTACAACCACCCAGCTGCTGCAGTGCAGGCTTGCAAATTGTTCTGCAAAAGGGCGAGCAAAGCCCAGTGCCTTGTGGTTGTGTGCCTTCCTGCTGCATCTGTGAAATTTGGGAGTTTATATGGCTGTAGAGTTTTCGTGATTCTGTGATCTACACCATCCCTCTCTTTCCTTTACACTCTTTTCTCCATCCTCATGTTAAATCAGGACTGAATGCTGCACTCTGCCATTTCTCCTCCACTTGCACCAAACTTGTTCAAACCAAAGATTTTTGGGACCTCTGCCTTTTTGTCAAATATGGCAGAAATCACACGTAGCTCAGAAATAATTGCTGGGGTTTGGAGAAATAATGGGAAAACAAACATTCATGAAAGACAACTATCCAAATTTCAAGGCTTTTGGAAAGTAGATTTAAAAAGTAATACCTTGTATGTAGGGCTTTCTACCATACTGCTGAACAAAAGGAGTAAAGTGGTCACAGCACTTTATTTAGAGACACACAGCGCTAGGACAATGCTGCTGGGCATCCCACTGGCAGGGGCACTTCCATGGAAAAGAGCCCCCCCTGATTGGGAAATGAAGATCAGCCTCAAAACTAACAGTAACAATTCCAGTTACTGAGCACACTGGAAACAAGATGCACAGGACTGAATGATGTCTGTGGTGTGTTGCCACCAAAACTTGAAGAGCCACCTTGTTGGCTCCCTGGAGCTATTCAAGTGTCTTTCTGAAAGATGGGGCTTTGCACAAGACAGGATGGAGCACTGCTGGGACGTGATTTCTTTGGATCAGCTGAGGCAGAAGCTCTAAGATGTCTGGGGTTCCCCCAAAATTATGAATATCCTGAGATTCGTTGCCCATACCTTTTGTTTTTGGTGTCTTTTCTACTAACAGATAGTCTGCATGGAGTCTGACATGAAGAAACAAAAGCCCTCACACAGAAATAGCAGAACCTTTTTTTTTTTTTTTTTAATGTTCTTTTTTTCCTCTCTAAATATGCACTTTTTGTCCACTGGAAATGTAACAACTGATTATGTGGCTTTCTAACAAATTACTGTCTCAAAGAATATACAAAGAAAGAGCAACAGAACAGACAGACTTTGAGTCCTCTAGGACTCTGTGGTGATCTTTGCCAAAGTAGGTCAGTGTGTTGCACATCAGTTTCAGCAGAACTCCGGGTAGACTCCCGAAAGAGGTAAAAATCTGAAATTATTTGATTTGTTGCCGCCTTTGCAGTCTGCTTTGGCTTATTTAAAGAAGTGGTTAAAAATATATTGAAACAATTATTATGGCAACTGAGACAACAGCAGTCGTGTTGAGAAGAGAGGCAACATGTTCACATAAATATGCAAAGGTCTAAATAATTCCTTTGGTAGACTGAAAATGCTTCTGATTTAATCGCAGACATTTCTCATACTTGTTGCAAATTTTTATCTTGAAAACCTAACAAAGTATGAGAAATTTCAAAAGCCCACAGCAACACCAATCATCCTAGAAAAAATATTGGGTTACCTGAGATTTCCTCAAGCAGTGGAAGAATAAATGGAAATATTCTAGGATGTTTAGTAAAAGATGTGCTGATCCAGGTATCGAGCCTGTATCGAGGAGCCATAGCATTTTCTGCATCCTAAATACGCTGAAGACTGGATGTAATTTCTGAAATAAAATATTATTACACACTAACATACCATGCAAATTCTCCCGTGCCTTAGTAACTTTCTCCCAAACCAGAATGCTTCCTACAAAGTTTCCCAAATTTACTGCTACTTTCTTAGTCCCCTGTAGCTAAATTTAATGTCTTACCCGATTTTTTTTTTTTTCAGCTTTGCTAAACAGCAACAACTGATAGCCAATTATAATTTTCTGAGCTGTGTTTTCAGCCAAAGAGATGGATTTAGGGCTCTGGAACGTAAAAACTCAATCGGGGCATTTGTATCATATGTGATTGCAAGCTTTTCCTATAAATAACTGGAGCAGGAGAGCACCTGTGCTTTTTCCTCCCAGCATTTTGATGGATAGCTTTGTTGGCATCTCTGCAATTGACACTACACTAAATTCAAAAAAGAGGCTGAGTCAGTCCTAAGTAATGGAATGCGTCCAAATTCTCCTTGGCTTTGATTCTAACAGAGAAAGACATCATTTTCATGTCTCCTTCCAGATTAAACTCCATTCCATTTTCTGTTGCCCTCAAAGCTCACTCCTGAAAATCCCACAGATGCATTAACATTCAGTCAATGAGATATTTCTAGCAGCCAGCCTACTATAATGTTTAGGTTCTTCTGTAGTTGCAAGGTCTTGGTTTTAGCCCGCCCTTGTAATGGAAAAATTGTCTTTAATCTAGACAGCCCGTAATGCCTTGTACCCATGCCAGCTGCACCATCCAGTCTTTAAGACTGTCACTTTGATCTGATGTTGTTTCTTGACAGAAGTTGTTTTTTAAATAAAAATAAAAATCACCATCTCGGTTATGAGAAATCTGGATTTTCATGATTGCTTATGGAAATTTATGATGAACCTTTCCTTTTTCAAGAGCAAGTTGGTTTGAAATTGCTGGGAAGACAGGTGAAAAATCACCATGTTGCCATGTTTTTTTCTTTTCCTTGGGCATGACCAATAAACCAGTCCCAGCTGGTAACATATCAACAGGCACTGGGGGAGCCAGATGAAAGGAGGGAGGCTGTATCAGGGGCAGTGGGAGAAGCAGGTTCAGACTGTGAGAGTAAACTACACCTACTGAAGAGACCAGATGTGAACCAGCTAACGTTGCTGACCTCTTCAACCCTCCTTTTGAGGATCCTGGTTTTCATGTTACAGAAAATACAAGCTATTTTTTTCTTGCCGCTTGAAACTTTTGGTTCAGCCGCCTGCAGACTTGGGAAGATTTGCCGTGCAAATTTGCAGCGGGTCATATTTTCAAGATTTTCTTTGCAACTTCAGAAGGCAGGAGGGTCCTTGGGGTGGAAATGGACAGCAACAACAGCACAAGCTTTAGACTGTGCAGACGACTGGCACTGTTTCAGTGCAGGTCATTCAGGCATATTGCGACATCCTTCACCAAACTTTGTGTTCACCACCCTGCATATGCTAACATAGCCCAGGACAGGCTCACCGAACAAGAAATGATCCCACCATTCAAGTGTCTTCTACTCTTCAACGCTGAGCTTCAGATTACTACACTTCTAAGAGTCCCCAGGCTGGTTTAAGAGTTGCTCACGCACATCTACACATCCAGTCACAACGATTTCTTGCTACACAACATAGTTAAACGTTGCATGTGCTCAAAAGCACGTGTTAGTTCACAGTGGCCTTCTTTCTGCTTAAAATTCAGTTCAGCTGATATAATTCAAGGGGCCTGACCAAACACAGAACACCATCAAAACAGGTTGGTTGCGGAGCACACTCTGCCAGGTTTGACCACGTTGTGTTTGTCCACCACATTTCTAGCCTGATTACCTTAGGAGAGGTTTGTGATTGCATCCTGTATGCAGGAACACGTACACACATGTACATACACAAATGGCCATACATAAATGCACATTTGGGTGTCTGTGAATTTCCCTTCCCATCACTGTCCGTCACCTACTAATAACTGTGAAGCTTTCCTTCAATTCCAGCCGAACCTGGCAGCAGAGCAGAGATTTCTAACACACTCATTTCCAACAGGTCTGTATAAATAGGCAGTTAATTAATGAATAAAAGCCCTATTAGTGTATCAGTAGTCCTGAGGAAAAGGAGTAGCTCCTATTAGATACCAGAGATGATGTCTATTCTCCAACCTTAAATATTCCCAGGACAGTTCTCTGGCACTAAGGGCAGCTGGCAGTGAACAGCCCATGCTATGTACTCCTAAAAGCTCTTGTTCTCCAAAAGAAGGTGGGCCAAAAGCCAGCTGCCTGCTGGAAATGGCCTGAGCTTGCTCCCAAATTGCGTTCAGGAATCATTTGGGAGACTGCTGGTAGACACGGGCAATAGATGCAGGCAATTCTGCAGTATGGACAGCCAAACTCCAGTGGCCAGAAATGTTCCCCAGGACCTTTTAATTTAGAAAACTGGCAGAGAAACTCTGCAGGAAACGGGTTTGGTGTAGCCCATCCACAAGAAAAGCTTGGACCAAGGTTGGTTCCATATTAGACAATGGAGAAGCCAAGTATGAGGCACAAATCCCCAGGAAATGGCCCTCGTTAAATCTGTTGCTGACAAAATGACTTGTTTAGCTGATGGCACCTTATTTAGCATTCACTCCCACTAGCAACCCATTTCAGATATAATATAGCAACTCGCAGCCCTGGATGCCAGATGCATGAGTTGTGTTTTTTTTAGCGTTCATTTAGCTGTTCATATTTTGTTCTCTAGTTTGTTTATATTAGTTGCCACCGTGATTGGTGTTTCAGACACTGTAATTAAATGAATCTTTATCACTTAACATGTGAATCGGATGATTTATCATATTTGCTATTTGTGGTCAGGACCGAGAATTCAGACCATGACCTCCAGAGCTAAAGCACGAAGATGTTAAAATCTTAAGACTATGAAATCTGTTAACCAGCAGCTGCAAAGTCTCATCTTCCACAGCACAAAGGGAGACAGAGGACAAATACTGAATATCTGGATACTGGATATCTGGAGACTAGCCTGCTGGAAGAATAAACAGCTGAAAATCGTTTCAATGCTGAGCAGAAGATTAAGAGACAGAGGAGCTGGAAACTTGAATGCCCGGAAGGACTCTGAGAATTGCGAGCAGTAGGCAACTCCCCTTGGGTACCGAAGAACGGAGCCTAACGCTCCTGCTGCAGTATTATTAACATCTCCTGTTCATATTTCAGTGGCACCTAGTGACCCAGATCCAAGACTGAGCCATCCAGCTGAAAAATGAATACAGAAACACACGGTGAGTCTATTACACACACTCACTCTTTCCAAGAAAAGAGACTCCTATAAAGAAAACGTTTTGCTCGCTTTCTTCTTTGTCATAAACGCACATTCCAGCAGCAGCAATGAAGCTCGATGGCCTACAGATCATACAAAAGGTCTCCTTCCTTCGCCTTTGTCAGGGGAAGATTTATTCCTCCTCTTGAAGCTCCTGTCCCCAGGAGAGAGATGTGCAGTGACTGGTGAGAGCCAACAGCCAGGACTGGGACACGGTGGCTACTGCTGCCCCGAATGGCTGCAGGGATGCCCCTTTTCCCCCGAGAGCAGGGTGTTAGGACTCTGCCCTCTGCCAAACTGTACAACGGGCACGAACTTTAGGGCGAGCATACCTTTGTGATCTCTCTGTCTCCCCGCCTGAAATCAGCCAACAGGTTCAAAGTTATTAAAGAGAGGCTGACAGACAAGCAGATGGACAGCCAGGCAGAACAGTTGTGTAAGCTTTGTTTCCTTAGGAAAGCAGGCTAAAAAAAGAAACAAAATGCAGTATTCACTCATCATTGTCTACAAAAACACTGAAATCAGCTATTTAACACTTTGTAACGAGTGTAATGGCTCAGCAGAGTTATTTATTCTGCTAGAAAAACCTGTTTCTAGGCCTCAGAGGATTAGCTGAGAAGCCGAGAGGCAGCATAACCTCCCGGTGACCCTATCTGAGAAGAAGCTGGTCTAACTGGAAGTCTGAAAGCAGTATTTTGAAAGCGGTGGCAGCTCTGAGTACATGTGCTAGAGCTGAATTAAACTAAGGGGAAGT